TTCTCTCTCATAAGCGATCGCTTTTGCCATACCTCTTACAAAGACCTTTCGTGGGGGCGGGACGTGAATTGGTACAGCATGTAAGGCGGAAAGCGAGCGTAGGGTGGGGCGCGCGTGGTCTCGGAATTTCGTGAATGAGGGGTGTTGGAAAGATTGCAACGGGGGGCTCCCGGTGACGGCAATGCGTTGCGGGCGGACGCGCATGTGGCAGGATGGTTGAGAGAGGCGCAAAACGCGGAGATAGAATTTTTTTGATACGTGTAAGCCGAGGCGCGGGCGAAAGGGCGTTAGTGCTGTTCCGTTGGTGAAGTGGGTGAGCGAGAGACGTGCAGACACACGAGGGGTGTGCGTTGATGGGAGGGGAGGCGCGGGATTGCTGCCTAGGGCTTGGGGGAGGGGAGATATGGCTGTATGTGACGGGCGTGTGTGGGCCGAAGGAACGCAAACGAAAGGAACGGCAAGCAAGGACGGCGGTGTGAGAAACCGAGAGACAGGGAGACAGAAAGTAAGAAAAAAGTTGAAATGACATTGAGTTGTGTGTGATGAACATGTGAAGACATGATGTGCGTGCAGAGGACAGGTCCTCATCCTGTAGAGATACGGTACGGTGCTGGTATGGTGCACTGTACTGTACGACGGAGGGTGGAAAGAGGGGTTTTAGGATTTTGGTGTCTCGCGCATGGCGAGATTAACGTGCTGGGATAAGAAATATGTAAGATGAGGGGCGTGTGTGGGTCAATTGAGGGCGGCAAGTGTAAAGTCACTGTATGTGTGGCAAGCGAAGGAGCAATGAGGAAATTTCGAGCGTCGAGAGATATGGCTACGCTTGTACCGTACCGTACGGTCAGACAAGCGAGTTATACAGGCGGATGTTTGCGTGGGGACAGCGGAGGAGCGTGTCGTGGACGTATTTGCGGGGCGACAATCTTTCCGTGCGCAAAGGGGTGGTCCCGGCCGGTGTAATACCGGCTGCAGTGTTTTTATGGCTGGGGATTTCGTCGCAACGGTGCCTCGAACGGCAAGCTGCTGTTGACGTAGCGCAGATATGGCACACGTACGTTGCGTGCGGGGTAGGGGGGAAGCAAGAGCGAGGGAGACGGAGGGGCGGGGGGAGAAAGTAGCGGTTTTGTGACGAAAGTTGATAGAGTTGGAGTTGCGGGAGAGACCTGGTGGGACGGAAGAGTAGAGGACAGGGGGGGAAGGGAGTTAGGGATGTTGGACTGG